AACTGAAAAGCATATTATAGATCAAACAGAAAGCAAAAAAGACTTAGGCACTCCGCACATTAAGCTCCTAATCACAGTACTGGCCAAATCATTAATTTAATTAATTTAATTTTTTTACTTAAAACTTTTCATAACTAACATTTCAAAATTATATTTTTTTCCATATTTTTATAATTTCTTTTTCAATGTTTCTTCAAAACCAACACTGAAAAAATTGGTACATAAGAAATGAGAAGTAAATTAATATTAAGCTGGAAAACGCAAGTTTTGCATTATGATTGTTTTCTTTTCAAATGAAATTTATTGAAGAAACTGAGAAGGATATTATAGATCAAACAGAAAGCAAAAAAGACTTAGTTTTGTGGAAAATATGTTCAAAAAGCACGAAAAAAACAATTTCCAACATATTGCTTCATAAGCACTACAAAAATTTTCTAAATCAATTTTTTTTTTTACATTTTAATTGTTGCACAGGTCTCCAGCAATAATTTGGCTTTAACAGATTGAAAAAATATCAATTAGTCGACGAGTTATAGCCAAAAAACCATATAAAAAATATGCTGAAAATCGGAATTTGACTGCAAAGTTCGAAGGTTGATTAAAAAAAAAATTCGAACTAACATAAACATACGCCGCGATACGGGTCTTCTAATTTAGCCTCTATTTTCACCCCTCACTCTCAGAATCGACCTAACTTTTGCCAACTTGAATTTGTTCCACAGTGTTATCGGATCGAAACAAAATTAGTATGGGACAACCCCTGAGGTACCACCTTTCCGATGAAAAAAGAATTATCGAAATCGGTTAACGTGGTCCAAAGTTATGCGGTAACATACATAAAAAAAAAATAAATATTCCGACGAACTGATAACCCCTCCTTTTTGTGAAGTCGGTTAAAAATCGATTACAGAAAAGACTTGTTACTTTCTAAGTTTCAAAGATTCTTACTTGAGCCATTGTAAAATTGATGTTTATTTTATACATTAAATATATCTAATAATACAATGAATTGAATTGAATTTTGGCCATCAAATGTGTTTGTTGTATTCGCATTCACATTTTTAGATCATAGGTTTGTTCCACAAGCTACTTGTAGAAAAACTCGAGCAAAGTTCAAACTGTCAGCGTATATCAAATAAACTCAAAAACTTAATGGTGGAACGTGTATGTGTAACTCGAAGTGACTTCGAGTAGCTTGTGGATCAAACCTCATATAAACACGAAACGAGCACAAACACAGTACTGTTTAGATAAAAGTTACCACTGCATTAATTCATATTAAAATAATAAATTCTATTGTTAAAAGTAATTTTTGTTAAGCTTCAAACTTATTTATTATAAAACATATGCTAACTAGCTGTACTGAAAGTTTCCCTTTTAAGACAAATATCTAAATTTTCGAACGGGCGCATAGTGGTCGAAAAAGCCATGTTTCACGTGAATAATTAGAAGTGCTATTACGATTATAATAAAACTGCGGGATCGTAGTATGCTTAATCCGAAAATACCAGAAAATGCATAGTTTGACAGTTGAGAGCTGTCCAATCAACTGCCAATTTCTCTAAAATTAAGAAAATGTTTTTGAAAATACCACGGATTACGTTTTTTGACATGCTGATCACGAATTTTTTGTCAAATTGAAACCTTTACAGTTGAAAGCTGTCAAATGGACTGCAAATTTTTCTAAAACTAAGACAATCTTTGTTAATTTTTCAAATATCTTTTAAGATGCTAGTGATAAGGGTTTTAGTCACGAATTTACGTCAAATTAAAACCTTAAATTAAATAAGGAAAATTCTCCAAGAATTAAACGTACTATGTTTTAAGGCTCACTGATCTCCAGTTCTGTATCACATTCTTTTTCGGTTGACAACTGTCAAATCAACTGTAATTTTCAGTTGAGTAACACAATATATTAAACAAAATTTGATTTATTATATAGGAGGGAACATATCTAAAATGAATTTATGATCAAATATTTTCAAAAACTAGTTTGAAATTTGCAGTGAGCGAGCTTAAGAACCTCTAAATACAAAATTTCATATTTGCCATATTTGATTCGTTATTGGATTTTTGAAAATTGACTTCAGCTTTGTTAAGACACATCTTATAAATGATATGATGATAAATATAGAATAAATTACATTAATCTTTAATATTTTAGTACACTTTCAGACGTATTCTGCTCTTTTCCGAACATTTTGACACCGGAAATTTTGTTACCAAAAATAACACCACTTCTTGTAACCGCAATTCTAAGTAACTTGGTAACAATTTAATCTACTCAGCAATTCTGCTATAAAAATTTGTATAAATTCTGGTGTTGCTTACTTCACGGGGAAATATTTTGATACCTGCTTATGAGATGGTAACAAAATATATCAGTGTGCAGAATGCGAAAAATTACCAGGAACTTTATTTACCGGTAACAAAATTTTTGTTACCAACGCAGAATAGGCCTGTTATTTGGAACAACTGCTAAAGTTTGTCTAGTGAAATAAAAAAGGTGGCGGCGCGAGTATGCGCGGATTTTCTTCTCGTAGATCCTTAAAGCGACCTTTGAATTAGGTTTTGGTAAAGGAATGAGGATCCCTCGGCCCTACAAATTAATTATACCTTTTTGAAGAAAATATTTCTTGAAAAATGAGCCGTGTTATTAAGGTGTTGATAATTTAGCAACCTAGAGTTATTATGTAACATTTGATATGAAATCATTATTTTCCCTATTTGAGAAGTAACACCAAACCAACAATTACTGTTTTAATTGAAAGTTTCCATAAAAAAATGCACTGTACGGCAAAATAAACTTTTTTTCTGGGTATTGGACCAAACCGATTTTTTTTAAGAGATTGAGTCATAGGTAAAAGAGTGATCTATCCGTTTTTCGAAGTTAGCCTCCGAAATCGAGATATGGCCCCTCGAAATTCGAAAAAGGACCTTTGGTAAAAAATTATATTTAATTATTGCATGTAAATAACTAAAAACCTAAAAATATAGGCGTAGTCCTATTTTTGCTCTTATTTAAATGGTATATAACTATTTTTTTGTGCAGACTTATATTACAGGTGCTATAAGGGGTTAAAGTTCAGGAAAAACATTTATTTATTTATTTATTAGAAGAAAAGAAGCGCAAAATGCCTTCTTTACTGAAAAAGGAGCACTAGTAAGAACACCTTCGGCTCGCTTTTTTAATTAGGATACAGTTTTTGCTTAGATTAACTAAAGGCTTATAGATAATTAACTCTAGATTAATTTCTTAAGATCTGTTAACCTAAGGAATTCATTTATTTTGTCTATAGATACAGCGTCATGATTTCTTAATAAACTAGAAGGGTTTGTATTTTCAAATAGGCTTGCTCTGGTTACTGCGAAATGTTGACATCTGTCGAGGAGATGAATCACAGAGTTGGTTTCTGCATTACAGTAGGGGCACTGTGACACGCTCAATCCTTTAAGAACCGCCTCATGGGTAATAATCGTGTGTCCTATGCGTAGTCTGATAAACGCTTTCAAATTGTTGCAGGTGGCTTTAATCGGGAATATAGGACTCTTTCCGCTGGTGTTTATATTCGAGTAGTGGTGGATATAATTCTTCCAATCTTGGAGTTTTGCTTTAAGTATGTGTATTTGAGCCAGTTTGGAGGTATCCTTTTTAGAGATAAAGTTTTGAACTATAAGTGGTTCTTGGGCTGCTAACTTAACTCTTTCATCAGCAGCTTCATTACCAGCTACTTATTGAAACATGGCTTGGGACCCACATGATTTTTATTCGACTGTTGCTTTGTAAAAGTGTTTTGCGTATTGATACTGTCAGGCTATCTGTACTGGACATATTTGTGATGGATTGTATGGTCGATAAGCTATCTGAGCATATTATGTATTTTTCTTTGGTGCCGAGAGCAAATTGAGCTGCACGTAGTACCGCGCTAGCTTCTGCAGTGTATACAGAACAGAATGGTAGTAGGTGGCCGACCGTGATTGTATTGTGATTGGAATCTACCACCGCGAAAGCTGTTGTGGAATGAATTTTTGTACCGTCGGTATATGCGAATTTCCAGTCTTGCTGTTCAAATTTTGTTGCGATATCTTTAAACATTTGCCTATAAACTGCTGCCGGTGTGGTACTTTTGTTGCTTCTGCTCATATCGGTTATAACAAACGATTGCATATTAGTCCAGGGTGGAGGAGTGTTATAGTTTACTTTTACTGGCTTAATAGGAATGC